TTCCTCAGCCAGCTGGCTGAGGAATTCTGGGAGTTGAAGTCCACAAGTCTTAAAGTTGCCAAGGTTGGACAACCCTGGTATAGGGGTTCTTATAAATCATACATCCTTCTTACATGGGCTTTCAAGCAGCTGTCAATCTGAAGATCTTTCTGCCATTTATTTACCCAAATGATGCTGGATCCATAATACTGAGCAAATACTGGTTGTGTTTCTTGCACAATTCCAGGAAAGCCAATTGCTTGAAAGAAGAGTTAATCTGGAGTGCTAAATAGCCCTAGTATTGGCACCTTTAGCAAGAACATTAGACTCATAGTTTGGTGTTTCAGGGTCTGGCTGAAAATATACAGAAACTAGGAGCTGGAAAAGCCAAAGAGAGACAGAATTTAAAAAGATGTTTAAAAAATAAAGATTGCATCCAGCTTTTGTTCTAGCTCCAACCAGTACTCTAAATAATCTTACCAGAAATTTGGGTCCCTAATTTCCTGTGTTACTCACCTGGCAGGGGACTTGTAGCATTGACATCTCCTGCATGTTCAAGATCTTGAAGTTCACCGAGATCAAAACCTTGTTCGCCTTCTTCCAAAAGGTGTTGATAGTCCTTCAGTTCCCCCAAACGTTCTTCATCTTCCAGGATCTCCTGGGAAGAAGACAAGGTCCAGCCGTCCAAATTCCCAATAAGGCTGTTTTCTCCCAACTGGAAGTCTCCATCTCTTCTCCCTTCAACTCCAGCACCTTCTTCTGACTCCTTCTCCTCGTAGGGCTGCTCTCCAAAGCCATGGCTTCCTCCGTTGGCCATTCCTGCATTCCCAGGAAGGGAAGTTTAATGGTGTGAATGGTGGTGGAATGATTTCCTCAATGCAAAAAAAGAAAGATAAGCCAGATCCTTCATTTGGGCCTTTTCATCTGCCAAGAAAGTAGCGTCACATGGAGGCTTCACTCAATGCTTCCACCCCAAGGAGAGTGTCGGAATAAATAACGATGCAGAAAAATGGGTTTAGACGGGGTCCAAAGTTCCATGGTTTATCCATAGGCTGCCAATTCAATGAGAAGATGGAGGCTTCTGAAGTTCTCAGGTTGGGGTGGTGAACTTGCAATTCTCAGGGTAGCTTTAATGATCTTCTGCAGATTCTCTCAATATGGAAAGCGCCACCTGCCTAGAGAGAGAGGGGGGTGGAATTGAGAGAGAGAGAAGAAAGGAAAAAGAGATGTCACTTTGACCAGCCCATCCTGTTCACCTCACTTGCAACTTGAGGGTTTCCCTCCAATGGAATTCTACTTCCAAGCATGTTAAAAGCTCTGGAAGGTATTAAGTAAGGCTAATCTTGAATTAAGCTCCTTTAAGACATGAATGTTCAGCGAGGGGAATCTTCTATATTTGAAATTGGCTTGGAGTTAGCGTGGTTCCAGGAAGTGCCTCCCCTCCTCTGGCTCTTCTATCTATGCAGCTGGAGATGCACAGATGTGGCTTCAGGCAGTGCCACTTACCACGCAAACACAAAAGGGGCAGCTTAACCCCCCCCCCCAATCACAGAATGACTGCATTGATTCCATCAAGTTAAGAAGAAATGAAGTCTCCCACTCCAGCGAGCTGCCCAGAAGAGAATGGATGCTTCTGAATGCGTGCTTTAATCATCATCTTCCTTCTTTCTTGGTCAGTTTAATGAAAAGAAGGATTAGGGGTGGCATGATGATGGCAGTCTTCCAATATTCTGCCCCAAAGAAGAGGGGGTTCAACCTATTCTGCAAAGCACCTGAAGACAGGACAAGAAGCAATGGATGGAGGTTAATGAAGGAGAGATCCAACCTAAGACTTAAGGAGAAATGTCCCAACAGTGAGAATAATTAATCAGTTGGAACAGCCTGCCACCAGAAGTTGTGAACGCTCCAACACTGGAAGATTTTAAAAAGATGTTGGATAACCATTTGTCTCAAGTGGCAAGTTGTTTGCTGCTTTTTGTTTTTGTGACATCAAAGGAGGATTTTTGGCGAAGTTCACTTCTACCGTCTTAACTTTTGGGAACTATCTTGAGTAGCCGCTGAAGGATTTGGGGAAATGGTCGTCATCCCTGTTTCTAAATCTTTCGCCATCTGATAGCTTCTCTATTAAAACCAAGTAGATCTGAGTGGCCCTGGGTGATGAACTATTTAAGTAAAGTTCACAGCGTTCTGGTGAAAGTACTTTTGAGGAAGGGCAGGGGAAAAAAAAGAAAGCGTTTTGTACTTCTTTTAAAATGGGGCTCCACGTTTAAGCCACGGAGGCTACGAAGGAGGGTATTTTTGGTAAGGGAAGAATAAAAAAAACCTTGCTGGATTTGTATGCTCAGGTTCCACACAGTTGTTTACTATGTCCTGGTGCTTTCAAATAAGGCTTTTCTACATTTGCCACATTTCAAGGAGGCTGAATAGGAATATCTTTTTTATTTTTTTTTATCTCCCCTTTATTATTTTTATAAATAACTCAAGATGGTGAACATATACAATACAATTTCCTCCTATTTTTCCCATGACAACAGCTCTTTAAGGCAGGTTGGGCTGACAGAGAATGACTGGCCTGAAGTCACCCAGCTGGCTTTCGTGCCTAAAGCAGGACTAGAACTCACCGTCTCCCGGTGATTGGCCCAAAGTCACCCAGCTGCTTTCATGGCTAAATCAGGATTTGAACTCGTGCTCTCATGCTTTCTACCCTGGTGCCCTAACAACCAGTCCAAACTTACTCACATTTGTATCCGTATTTATGAATCTGTGCTTCATTTGTATTGTATTCTAAAATAGAAGAGAGTTAGAAATATCTTCCATTCGTAACTCTCTTCTATGTTCCCTTATGTAATTTTGGTTGTTTTGGTCTTATGTCCACATAGGAGAGGAAAGAAGAATAGATGTTTTGTGGATTATTTATCTGGAAGGGTCATTGCTGAGGAAAACAGCCCAGGGTCCCATTTTTATATGTTTCCAAAATCCGTAAATCTTTCCTTGTTCTAAACCTCTTTGGAAAGCTGCCCTGATATGCTCAATCTCCAAAGTGAATTAATATGCTGGTTTGTGTTGGTTGGTTGGGTTTATTTTCCCCACTCTGGACTCTCATTCTGAATCTGGCTGTGGTCCCCTTAAGTGCCCAGTGAGCTCCAGTCAGTAATTCGAGGACTGTGCAGAAAGGTGGATTTTACTTGGATTTTATTTTAGTTTGAGGTTGCATTGGTTAATTCAACAAAACTCTTGGATGCTGTGTGGAGGATACAGAAGGTTCTTTGCATCAGATTGGATCTGGTCCAGGCAGTGATCCAACATTTGACCCACAAGGTTAAGATAGGAGAGAGAGAGAGAGAGAGAGAGAGAGAGAGAGAGAGAGAGAGAGAGATTGTGTTTGTGTGTCAGATTGTGTGTGTGTCTGAGAGAGAGAGATTATGTGTATGTATGTGTGTGTGACAGATTGTGTGTGTGTCTGATGAAGAGAGAGAGATTATGTGTATGTGTGTGTGAGATAGATTGTGTGTGTGTGAGAGAGAGAGGGGATTGTTTGTGAGAGATTGTGTGTGTGTCTGATGGAGAGAGAGAGAGATTGTGTGAGAGAGAGATTGTGTGTGTGAGGGAGGGGATTGTGTTTGTGTGTGAGAGAGATTGTGTGTGTGTGTGTAAGAGAGAGAAAGGGATTGTGTTTGTGTTTGTGTGTGAGAGAGATTCTGTATGTGTTTGAGAGAGAGAGAGAGAGAGATTATGTGTATGTGTGTGAGAGATAGATTGTGTGTTTGTCTGATGGACAGAGAGAGATTGTGTCTATGTGTGTGAGAGATTGTGTGTGTGTGTGAGGGGGGGATTGTGTTTGTGTGTGTGAGAGAGAGATTGTACCATTCCAGGTAATTGGTTGTCCATCTCTTTTGAAAACCTCCATAAATTTCGGGGGCAAAGTCATCCCACTGTTTAATTGTTCTAACTGTCAGGAAATTTCTCCTTAGTTCTTTCTCAGCATTCACCTTGGAGATTTAGCCAAAATGATGAGCAAGAACACCTTTTTTGCAAAGGCTGCAAGACATTTGCAGCAGTAACAAGTTCTTGGAGGTATGCAGCTGCTTGCTAGAACGTCTGCACTTTTTAAAGCGTTTCTTAGAAACTTTAGAAATTGTTCTTGGCAAAGTTCTGGAAAGTGGCCTCATTCAAAATGGGCAGATAAAATAAGGAAAATCTTTTTTTTTCCCCTTCTAAAAGTGAGAACAATTAACCAGTGGAATGGCTTGCCTTCAGAAGTTGTGGGTGCTCCATCACTGGAGTCTTTTAAGAAGAGACTGGACAGCCACGTCTGAAATGATATAAGGTCTTCTGCTTGATCAGGGGGTCAGACTGGAAGACCTCCAAGGTCCCTTCCAACTCTGTTATTCTGTTCTTTTCTAAATCCCTCCACCATGTGCCAAAGCTATCCAAATTTCTGAAAAGCGCCTTACAGAATCTGCAAGTAGCTCTGATTACAATTTCTGCGATGATGCCAAACATATTTTTTTTTTACTATGGTTCCACCCTCAGAAAGTGTCCAAAATCCGTTCCGATCATTTGATTCAGCAGTTGGCTTTGACCCTGCCAAATTTTGCTATTGTTATTTTTAAAAAATTGTAAACACATCTATCATAACACCTTTTTCTTTTAAGAAGAAAGAACGTTGCAATTGTTATGAAGTTGAATTCCTTGCGATGTTATGGTTTTGAAGGGAATAGCAATAATAAATAAAGAAATGTAGTAGAATATATTATAGCATTAAGTAGAAAGCTACTCTATAGGCATTTGTTATCTTGCTGTTGTAAGAAACGATTTCCTTAACCATTCACTTGTTGTAAAACAATTGTAAACTCATGCCTGCTATCAATTACATCCTTCTCCTATTAAGGCCTATGTCCTCCCATCTAAATCAATCTGAATCCATCTGTTTTCCTGGATTGACAGATCTCATGGCATTCTCTGCAAATGTAACATCTCCTAAACCTCCCAGAGTAATCCATATCTTTGAAGTGTACTCCTCAAATGATCAATTAGGGAGACAATGGGAGAAAAGATAATACAGCCAATAGAATCTGCTTGTTGCAGGAAGATGTAAATCTTAAATTAGATTACATGACTAGTGTTTTACAACTAGTTAGATTACATGACTAGAGATTTACAAGGTCATTAGAGAACTAAGAACAAAGACTTTTGCATGTATAAAAAGGACAGGACATCTTTCTGCATTTTGTAGAATTTTCCTCCCATGTCTCTTGTGATGTGCTAGGAATTTCTTACCTAGAACTTTAACTTTGATCAAATATAAAGTCCGCTTTCTTTGATTTGCAAGCCTCCATTTAAGTCTTTGTTTTGGTTCATTTTTAGCTTAAGCGTACTGCCACACCTTACAGTTTGGTAGAAGAATCCGGGGACTTGGCACCAGGCCTTAAAAAGTTGTGGCTTTTTTAAAAGAGAAAGAATGGCCCTGCCATTGAGCCTGTTAGACTCCGATAGCATCTCTATGGAGACAAAACCTTGAGATACCAAACTGAAGTCTTATCAGATACCTCCTGCCTCGCTCAGGCTTTTCTCATGCAATGTTTTGTTTGAGGAAAGGGTTGCCCTGATCACCAGTTCTGAAGGTAACCTAATCCAACGACTGGATGGGACTCGCAGAGATCATCTAATCCTTTCCCAAGGCAGGATTTAAAAGGGTGAAGAGCTTGGTCCTAGAGACCCTGGTTTATTCATTTTGAAAGCATCTCTTGCAAAGGTTAATCGAGATTTGAACAGAGCTACTAGCATTATCTGATGTAGGTTTACTTGATTGCATATAATGGCTGGAAACGCAAACAGGAAGGGTAAGTGATAGAAATATCACTAAGACAGTTGGGGAGAGAGGGAGGGAGGTTGAGAGAGAGAGACAGAGAGAGACAGACAAACAGAGAGAGAGAAAGAGAGACAGAGACAGAGACAGAGAGAGAGGAGAGAGAGAGAGAGAGAGTTGTGTGATAAAATCTTACTCAATGGAAGAATCTAAAACAATTTGCAATTGAGGTAGAAAACCACAAACTCTTTAAAATGGAAAAATAAGCCTGTCAATTACCAGAAATCTTTTGCACCCAGTTAATTCTGCTCTAAGCCAGGTCACAGAAATAAAACACAGGAAGTTGGACTCAAGATGATCCG